TGAACTCGCTTATGTAGCCCAGGCTGACCTCAAACTCATGGCAATCCTCCTGTCTTAGCCTTACAAATAGTTACTAATGCCAACTGCCTCATACTGTTTTCTGAAATAAGTCACAAACCATAGAACACCCAAGAGGAAGCAGGCTAATCTTTCAAAACCAAAAAACAAGATGAAAATAAAGGAACAACTTTTTACTCTTTTGCTTTAGAGTAACCAATGCTTCCAAGACAGGAGGCTAGATATTATACTTCCCCTTTGGCATCTACCAAAGAAAAACAAAGACAGCCTGAAAACAATTAAAAGGATTTAAAAATTATTTACTCATTTACTTTTATTACAATAAATATTTATCAATAAAAGAATTAAACAACTTTAGACTAAAACCTACGGCATTATTTTTGGGGTTCACAGCAGCAGAAATAAACATAAATCCAGTTGAAAGGTCAAGATTCCAGAATCCAGTGATAAGAAACAGTCAGGTCTTGATATCTGGGCTAGCAGCAGGGAACAGTCACACCGATAATGCAGAAGTAGAAGTAACATTGAAATGCCTGTCGTGCTCTATTATTGTACATCAAGTTATCTGGGACTTCACATTCCAGCAAAGTAATTTAAGCAAGCTGCAAAGCTCTGTTTCTACATGAGTGGGAGTCCTCCCTCCGTGAGCCCATGGGCATTATGAGTCCCGCAGAGCTGCCCTCTGGCCAGAACTTCGCCCACAATCGTGCAGGTCCACAGACCTCGGCCCTGGTGGAAGCAGACATCGTTTTTTGGAAGCTGTCTTTTGGCTTACAGGATTCCGGGTTTAAAAGGAAGTGGAAAGCGACCTGTTTAAAGGGCTTTCTCAAAGACTGAGATGACCCGGAAGGAAGGAAGGCTGTGGCTCTAGGTCAGAAGTTATGGGCCACACGCACACTAAGTCCACACCAGTAAACAGTCTAAGAAGAGCTTTCCATTTGGCTGATAATCCAGACCAGACTCTTTACAGACATGGTATCATACATACATATGCAGAGAACATGTGTACATGTTAGATATATATATATATACACAGCACTCATAACCAGGTAAAATAAATACTAGATTATTTACTACAGACACAGCAAATCTTAGACCAGTTACTAATATGTTCAATTAAACTACCTGAAAGGGAAGAAATCTTACATTCCCCTTCATCTTTCTAATACAGACTCTGCAGCCAGCACATACCAGCTGCTCCAGCAGAGCTGTCTCTAGGTACCTGAGAAGGAATGGAATTGCTCTCTCGTTTCAGAATAAAAAGCCGGCTCTTTTAACCAGGGCCAAGTTAAAAACCTCAATAACTGATTTGGCCATGATTCCTGCTACAAAGTCTTAGTCACAGTGCAGTAAAGTCTTGGTCACTTTTACTCAGAAAGTATTAATTTCCTCTTCTACAAGTAGCCACATGTTTAATCTACTATGTTAGAGGGGAAGGGAAATGGAGAAGACAGGCAGCTGGGAGTTTCACCTTGGTAATTAATCATTACTTTCTCCTTCCCCAGAGGGAATGTCATGTTTCTTTCAAAAATTGCAACCTGGGGCTCAACAATAAATTCTGCTTTTTCAGGCTATTTTGAAATGAGCAAATCATTACACATAGCTGGTCTTTGTCTCCTAAATGGTTAGTCTGATGAGATTAAGCTGTTTAAACAAAATAACCTTAAGAAAATGTCAGTAGTGCAAGAAGTCTCAATTAGTAGTTATTACAAAGTGTGATACAAAATGATAACAGATTTATAAGGCAGTGTTCACAGATCTTGCAAAATTAAATCAGATTTGTATAACCTAGTAGTAAAATAAAGTATTATCTGAGCATGTTACAGGTCAAGTGCTTATTCTCTGGATAGTCTCTGGATATTAAGTGTTCATTAACAAAGTCACAATCTAGAATTCATGGTGAACTGTGGATAACTGGATGAAAACCCCAAATCAGTTCTAATGTTAACTGTCACCCTTAGAAACTGCTCGAGAGGACTCTAGCCAAAGAGACAGAAGGCACCCACAGCACTTTAGCCACTCCTCATGCCTTCCACATCTTCTCTGCCTTCAATCTGAGTGCGCGTGCTGCCAAAGCAGGCACTGTCTTCCATTTCAGCGTAGCATTTAGGTTCTCTATTGCCACCATTCTATTTGCATGCTTTAAAAACAGCACTACTCTCGCTGAGCCCAGCTTTCTAAGAATGATTCTCTGAAGAGGAAGACAAGGTGACTGCTCTGTGGGAGACCAGAACAATCCTTCTGTTGTGTACAAGTGCATTTTCCTAGAGACGAAACCTTGTTCAAGCACCCTAAAGACAGTTCAAGTGACACTTTCCAATCCTGGGAACTGGGTCTTCCAGACCAAATGCAGTACAATCCCCTTGTGCAGGCTACCTGTGAGAGGGATTTCAATGGCAAAACTTCTTTGCTATGCTAAACATGAACTCATTTAAAACCTTTCTGTATAAAGAGTAGATCCCTGCTTAAGAACAAAAACCAGCTAGATTACTATCTCTCACATTTGTTTATTAAAGAGAAAAGCATATTATTAGCATGCAGTTTAAAAAATAAAGTTACATTTATTTTGCACCATATAAACACTGGAAATGAATCAGCCCACAAATCCAGGAAGAAGCAAACACATCACCACTTTCTCTGGAAGTGAGACAAGCATGATTTACCGTATACTGTACTCAGAATTGCCTACCATTATGCCAATTACTTGTACCACTGTCAAAGATGAAAACTAAAATAAACAAATCACATGGGTTACATAATTAATGAAGGAAATTCAGAAATTTATGCAAGCTTCCTAAAATGCCCAGAACATCACACTTTCAAGTTTCACAGTGATTAACACCATTGTACTGTTAAGACTGTCATTTTAAATGTACACGTCAAAGTGCTTCAAATGCTGCATAGTAGTTAAAATTCTTCCTGGAAGGTTGCAGTACTGGCAGCTAACTTAGTAATGTTATTCACCCATAGGGTGTTCAAGAAAGGGTACACAGCCTTACACAGACACCTCATGGAACAAAGAAAATTCTGATTTCACAAATTTCCTATAGAGCGTTGGATCAAGTTTAAATTAAGGTCAAGAGAAGGCCACTCTGAATACAGCCATCAACACAATCAGATTTCTCTGTCTGCTTTTGGCTTACTTGAGGACCCAAAGTCAAGTGTTGGGTAGGCATGGTAGCACATGCCCTGTAATCCCAGCACTTGGAGGCTGAGGCAGGAGGACTACTGAAAGGCCAGTTACATAGTGAACTGAAGGCCAGCCTGAACTACACAGTGAGATCTTGTCTCAAAAAACACATAAACAAACAAAAGTCTCAGCCCATCAGGTTTACTTTGTTCCTATTCCTTAACTAGTCATGGGCTCTAAGGCAATCAAGGATATCTGAAAGTGGCAAGACCTCACAAGTAACAAAGCAAAACCCGAGTGGTCTGCCTATTCTAGGTGGTGTCTAGTTGAGAACAAACGCAGGTGAACGATGAACAATTACGAATCGGCCTCTAAAACTGTAAGTGGGAAGATAGTTTTTGGTATAAATACCTTCAGATTATCTTTTTATTCTGTATAGATTAGTCAAAGTCAGTTTTGGAAAGCAAGGTACATTTCAAATGATTTTGGTTGATTACCAAATAAATTAGTTTTTTGAGAACTAAACACATTCAGAACTTTCAAATTCACAGGGCAGTAAGATGGTCCCTTTTTTCCTTTACAAGGATCCTGTGTATAGTCCCTAAAGGCGCAGGCTCCAGGTCATAATTAATACTCTTTTGGTATCTATTTAGAATTGAGTAGCTCTAGATGTACACTCCTCTTCCCAATACCTCTATGAATGAATGAATGACATACTGGTAGTAGTACTGTAACATCCTAGATCACAATCAGCATTTAACTTTCTTCTTGAAAATTAGAATGAAAAACATTTCAATTGTAATGTTAAATGCCAAGGAAGAACATTTAGTTTTTAAAAGTATAATTCACTCCATTATCCTTAAAACTAAACCCTTTAAACTACATTTCTTAGTATTTGTGGAAGAAAGACACTTTAGGTTGTGGCAATTTCAAACTGTGCACTGCAGCTGGATCATGAATGTTATAGAAGACCACAAAAGGCAGCAATAGCAATACCCTGTCCAGACATTTTTACATTTTCTATCTCACATCCCTCTCAAACACAGGGGAATTATTCTTTTGACAAGCCTAAAGACGCCTTTTCTGTAACATAGCCTGAAAAGAAACTTCTTAAAGGTCTATGTAACTTTGGTCAGCAGCAATGCAAACCTCTAGCCTGGCTAAGGCACTCAACTCTGCAAGCACAGAATACATGCATGTATGGTCCCAACTATGGCACTGCTGCCTACAAGACAGCTCAGGGGGCACCAGGGAGAAGGCCTGGTGCGAACACACCCAAAATACCGTGCACAGACTGGGTGTGGTGGTGCACACCTATAATCCCAGCACTCAGGAGGCTGAGGCAGGAGGATTGCCATAGGTTTGAGGCCAGTCTGGGCTACACAGTGAGCTCATGGTCAGCCTGCACTACACAGTGAGACCCCATTTCAAAAAACAAAACAAAACCCAAAAAATCATGCATAAGCTCAGAAGAGCTTCTGTACTTTGCAAAGAATGTAGTAACTGGCATGACAGAAATGCACATGCTACTGGTGACTGAGTCCGCGTAGGCTGCTGTGTAAGTGTACAAGTGGGGCACTCAAGATGCACAGTTGGGTGGCAGACAATTAGGAAAGTGGCAGCAGTGTGAGAATCCACAGCTTCCTCAGTTAATTGCTTGGTTTCACTTTCCCTTCGTGACAGCCTCTTTTCTTTCATCTAACAGTGCCAATAAAACTGACTATGGCATAATTCTCCACTACCATAGGGAAATATGTCACAAAGTATAGGCATAGAACAACTTTCAGATACACTTGATGCAACAAAAAGAAACAATTTCAAAGTAAAAGAGCCCCAAAATTACAGGACATGATCCTAATGCCAGAATTAAAGTGTATTTTTTTTTACTACACTGTACAATGTGAAGGAAGTCAGCGGTCCATACCTGTCATTTTACAAATACTTATCAGGTTTTATCTCATTCTTGTGTAGAAGGTCAGTAATACACTGAGGAAACCTTAAAAACAAAATTTTTCCCTAAGCCAAATTAATTGATCTAGGTTAATTTTATAGATGACAGAACAAGGTACACACAAAATAGTTACTTCTGTTAATTGGTTTGTTCTTTGACTTCTGCGATGGCAAGTTCTTAACAAACATGGAAGACTATCCACACTTTTCTGCATCAATTTATCATCTATTTTCAGTGTTCATTTTTGTCTCTGAGAATCATCAAATACAATCAAGTCTTTACAAATAATTTCTCAAAATGAGTATGGAACCATGACCTGGTTCCTTGGTTCATTTCTAATAACCTGGATGACAATGATTAGAATTTTAAAATGTTTTAAAAAAATGAAATATCAATGAAAGTTATTTTTTACAAAGCAGCAGACTGAAATTCAACAAAGGAATACACTATAATATTTAACAATGGTCATATTCATAGATAAATAATGGTTAAGAATTTAATTACATATCAACACAGTGGTGCCTATTTTATCCAAGTGCAACCTGTCCAAAAAAAAAAGGGTTTAAGATACACTCTTCATTCAAGCACAAAGTTCATTCACTGGAAAAATAAAATCAGCAAGTAAATTTCACCACCACCAAACTAAATGAAGACAAAATCAAGAGAGAAGAAAATACCCATATTTATAAAAAGATGTGATTTATCAAATAACCACAATAAAGTTAAAGGGACTGTGTTTTCTGTAAACCTCAAGAATTACTCTACGCCATATTAAGGAGTGGGTACTCAGTAAGGCAGGTACTAAGTTTTCTTCAAGTGGAAACGCAGACAAGATGGAGATGAGCACGTCTCTCTGCTTTATCCTGTATGAAATAAAAAACACAGCTCCTCATTCCCCCAAAAGGAGAGTGAGAGAAAGCAAGGAAGGCCAGACAGACACACGGAGTCAGAAAACTAATTTTGGTCATAGTGAAATTCATGAGATTCCTAACTCCAAACTAAATTTCCTCTTATAATGTGCTTCACCTGCATGCCTCACAAGTAATTATCATAAGACCAGAACTGTTACAGACACTCCTACAATCATGGTTCACAGGCACCAAATCCCAACGACCCACAGTGGAGGGGGCAAAATGCCATACCGAACTGTGAGCCATGGCAAAGGATGAGTCACAATTAAAACCTATCTGTTACTGAAAAGAAGTTTTTCTTTAAAAGAAAACTAAACCATTTATCAAGATCTGTTCCATAATTAAAAGACCCAGAATAGTAGACAGTCTCTCCTACCGGGTGAGGACAAAGGCCTTTGCACAGGAAAAGAGAAACTGAGATTTGGCAATTGTATATTGCTCTGTAATCATTGGCGTCTCCAGCTGTAAAATGACTTGTCTTTATCTCATATTAGACTTGGGCTGTTGATAATTACCACAGCTAAAGACCTGTAATAAAATACCAAATATGAAAACAAATTATAATTTTTCTGAATGTTATTAGTGTTTCTAAACCAATTTGGGGGTTTTAAAAATGGAAACAAAGCATGTTTAGCTCTGGAAGCCAAAACATTATGGACTCATGAGGCTAAAATCACCAGGAACACTTTGCTGGTCTCATGTACATTACACTTAACCAAAATGTCACATGGTTTTATAAAAACAATAAAATTAAATAAGCTGGGAGTTAGAAGCTCCAGAATTCCAGAAGTTCAAGCCATGTTTCATTTCTACTGTCCAAGTACCACATAAACTGAGATCCCATGTCTGTCACGCAGATCAGATTAGTTCAATGGTGATGGATGAAATATTTACAAGCATCTATTTACAGTACTTCTTTCTGAAGATTACAGGCCAATATTCTTTTCTTCCATTCCTAGTCAATCTGAGTTTGGTTTCCTCAATGAGAAGGGGTAAATTTGAAAATGGCTACTCAGCTGCTTAACCTATGGAAAACCAGAACACAACACAGTGACAAGTATGTACCTTATTATTTTTTAAAGCATAAAGAATTCACTCTCTAGAAACAACAATTTATTGACACAGCAAAAATCACCCAAAATAATGAAGAGGTCTGCCGGATTAGAACAGCTAAAGAGCTAGACAACTAGTTCAATGGGAATACTAGAACTACTTTGAGAGTTAGAATTTGACTGTGGATCTGCCTAACTCTAAAATCTAATTTTTCCAGCGTCTGCCAGGACAAAAAAATTCATATCCTAATCTACTGAAAACCTGACATAATATTAATTAATAGAATTATAAGTTAGATTCAATATTCAGCTTGTTGAAATAATTCTAAGCAATCGCTCCCAATGCTACTGAAATAATCTAGAAGTAGATCTGCGAATGTGGAGAAGATGGATTGGTAAAGCATCTCTAGTGGGTAGGCAAGAGCTTAGTTATGTGCCAGTTAGAAGATGCCATTTGATGCTTAGTTCAAGTGAATGCTTTGTGTGGCCTAGCAAGTTTCACCTTCTGATCAAAAATTGCAGTTTCTGCTGAGATAGAAGGAAAATCTCAAATAATATAAAAGTCTTCCTTTAAACTGAAATTCTAACCTCCCTAACTGCCTTGCTCAAAGAATTGGGCAGGGAAGAAAGGAAGTGATATAAAACCAATTTCTTTATAAATTAAGTTAATGGGCAATAAAAATATCCCGATTCCTAAAGAGAAGAATTAGATAACAAATAGGATTATCCAGTCCCACATAATTAAAAACTGTTTACAATTTTAATTAACAAGAAAATAACTTAAAAACCCACTTAAAATAAGCACTAACTCCTCAAAATAATTATCTACCTTTAGCATCATTTGTTGTTATAATCATTAGAAAAACAATCCCCAAATCCTTACAGGTATTATAATTAAATAATTTTCTTTTGTAATCTATTACCTCCTTTCCACTTGTTAGAAACAAATGGAGCCAGTTTTGTTCGAGCTTACTCACCACGCACACCCCATAGTGGATATGGGCCAGGGTGAAGGCAGCTGTTAGCGTATACAGTAGAATACTCTCAAGGTAAGTGGCTACTCCTAAGTTCACTGCCATGACAACCAAGAAGAGAGGAACCAGCAACCAGTTCAAAGCTGGGCACCTTGTGCTGCTCATCTGACAAACAATCAACTGACACTGGGTTTAAAAAAGAAAAGAAAAACATTTAATCAGTAAAGCACTGCCAAAACAAGTCACTCCAACATTTAGAAAGTATTCAAGACCTTGAGCCAACACGTTACATTACCTGAGTTCAGTGGTTCTCAACTGGACCAGGGACCCCACCTCCCTGCCCTCTGAATGTGTCTGAAGAGACTAGAAAATAATTTAGTGAGGATTCGATAGAAGGCATTCTTCCACTGGGTAACGACAGTTTAGATAAAAGAACTTTCTCCCAATTTTAAGATTCTACAATACATGAGAAAAATTCAAAATAACCTCCTGTATTTTCACACAACTAAATTTCTTCACAGCAATGAAGAGGATGCTACTGCTAGTATAGCAATATGCCCATAATTAACACTTTAAACTCTCTCCGACTCCTTTTATTTTCTATACTTTATTCAGATACACTTTTACTCTTTCAGAGATAATTTTTATACCACGCATTGGTGCTTTCAGATCTATACGCATTTCTTTTTGAAGTACTCGGACTGAAATCTAGGGAGTCACATACCCTAGGCAAGTATTCTACCACTGAGCCACATTCCCCAGTCCAGTTTTCTACCTTTTAAATGTATAAAATCAGTAGGAATTAGAATATAAACTGTGTTAAAGAATGAAAACAAACTCAGTGACTAAGTTACAAGTCAAAAACCTTGAAGAACCTGACCTAATAAAGAGCACAGGCTTCCTGACTCTCAGGATGACCGGGTCCTTTCTCAACTCCTAATCTCTCTTTCCTGTGCTCTCTCGGCTGGCAACAGCATAGAAATTAATTTCTTAAAAATATATATGAGCCGGGTGTGGTGGCACACACGTGCAATCCCAGCAACCAAGCAGGAGGACCAAGGCCAGCCTGGACTGCTTAGGAAGACCCTGTCTCAAAAACAGACAAACGAAAGAAGTTCTATTTATTACAAAGTTTCTATTCCATATTATTAATCCCCAAATTAGCTGCTGTGTGTTTCTTTCTCTCTAATATCCCTTTCAAACTGGACATGGTAGCACACGCCTGTTATCCCCACTATTTGGGAGGCTATGGCAGGAAGATTACAAGTTGGAGGCTATTCTGGCCAATTTCAGCAGTGACAGGCATGCCTGAGGCCCTGGGTTCAATCCCAGCACCACAACCAGAGCTCCCTAAGGAAACCATAAGGTCTACAGTCATTCCAACCATACTGTGAACAATGTTTACTCTAAAGGCAATCTAAACTGTCCCACGACTTCTTCATCAGGCCACCAGGCCTATTTAAGTATGCCACGGTTTCTTAACAGCAGTCTGGTTTCAAAGGGCAAAATGAAGTAATTCTCATGGTGCTGGGAGTGTAGCTCAGTTGGAGAGTACTTTTTGCATGTTAGAGGACCTGGGTTCAATTCCTACCACTGCAAAAATAAAAGTTAATAAAAATAATTCTCAGCATGTTGTCTTTGAGGTTTTAAAATTTTCTTTCAAATTTATGATCTAGAAATCTTTAAAATCTCCTTATTCTAGTACTATAAGAGTTCTCAAGTTATCAAACTGTCATATATTCCTAATATAGATGATTTTTTTTTTAAAGAAAAAAAGTCTTACTGTGATGTTGGCAAAGGCTGTTCCAACCATAAAGTAGAATACTCTAGGATGTATCTCTAAAATATCTGAAGGTGACCAGAGGATCCAGGCTGTAGACAAAATGAAGAGCAAACATGGAGAAAAGACGGGAACCATAACTTCATAGACTGAACTGTGTTTCAAGGTGTTATTTTTATAGCTTCTGAAAAAAAGAACCAAGTAATACAAAGAACATTATTACATGTAATACTTGTAGTCTGTCATTTCCAAATTACATTTGTTTATACTCACAATAATCCTATGGCATAGACAGAACCAATAATATTTTTGTTTGATTTTGAGGCAGTGTGTCACTATGTAGCCCAAGATGGCCTGAAACTCACAGCAATCCTCCTGTCTCAACCTCCTGAGTACTGGGATTACACGAGTGTGCCACCATGCCCAGCAGAACCAATGATATTAACCCCATTTTACAGGTAAGGCAAGTGAGGAGGAGAGGTTCTAAATTACATAACTTGCTAACAAGTCAGAACCAAGGTGAGAATTGAAAATTCCTTACACCTACCTATTTTTTCCTCTTTAAGCCAAATTATCAACTGTTGTATAAAGATAAGGAATGCACGGTAACATACATCTGTAATCCAAGCACTTTGGGAGGCTGAGGCAAGACCACAAATTCAAACTCAGCCTGGGTAACTTAGTGACTTAATGAGACTTTGTCTCAAAAACTAAAAAAGGGCAAATAAATAAATAAGAATACAACTATGTTTTTATCCTATGAAATATCCTAGCAGGAGAAATAAAATAAAGATGAAATATCAACAGGGTGAAAAGTCCTTAATTTCACGTATTGAAAGTTCATTCTCCAGCCTGTGGAACAACTTGGAGTTAGTGGACCCTTTCAGAGGTGGTGCTTACGGCAAAGTCTTCTAGTTACCGGGAATCTCCTCCCCTGAAGAGGAGATGGGACCCCAACCCCTTCCTCTTTCTCCTTTTTGCAACCCAGTCATGCAATGAGCTGCTGCGCTCTACGTCATGCTCCCTGTGCCCTAAGCCCAAAGGCAATGGGGTCAACCACTCATGCCTTGAAACCTGCAAACTGGGAGCCAAAATAAACCTTTTCTTTAACAAACAAAACAAGCCAGGTGTGGTGGCATACACCTGTAATCCCAGCACCCAGGAGGCTGAAGCAAGAGGACTGTCATGGGTTCCAGGCCAGCCAGGGCTACAAAGTAAGTTTAAAGCCAGCCTAAACTACACAGTGAGACCCTTTTCACAAACAACAACAAAACCCAGCAGAGTAGTACCTCATACTTCTACTTGGATTAAAAAAAAAAATTGGTACAGAATTTAGAGTAAGTGTAACTCACACAAAAGACTGTAGTGAGACTGCCAATACCACATCTTGGTGTCTGTAAGTACACAAGAAGCAATCCTGTTTCCTGTTTTAAGTGCTAGAAAAGTTTTGGAAATAGTGGTAATGGCTATACAACACTGTGAATGTATTCATGGTTCACCACTGAACCATGAACTGTAGTTAAAAATTGTAACTGGTACATTTTATTAAATAAACAAGTAGAGCAAAGAAGATATCTAAGTCTGTGGCTAAGGAGTGACAGAAAAAAAGCCAAGAGAACATGATTTGTACTTATTAAATAATACTCCCCATTTGTCACTATCCTAAACCAATGACAATCTCCATTCTGCTTCCTATCTCTATGAATTTCTCTACTCTAGGTACTTCACATAGGTGGAATCACACACCATTTGTCCTTTTGGCCTGGCTGACTGTACTTAGCATGATGTTTTCAAGTTTATTCATATTTCCATTTGATTTGGTTCTCTTTTATGATCTCTTTAATGATTTCACATTTGGTTCATACATTGTTTCCACGATTTAGCATATTTAAGAGTACTGCTTTAAAGTCTTCATCAAATAAATCTAATGTCTGCAGTTTCTCAGGGGGAAAAACAAAGTTGTTCATCTGAAAAAGAGTCCTAATATGTTGCCTAATCAAAACCTCACAATTGTAAGATAAGGAAAAAATGACTCAATTTCTAAAGCTTTCAGAGCTTTAAACTTTATGGCCTCTATGAATGACTCGCAGCTGCAATAAATATGACAGACTCACAGAGCCTGGCTGCCATGGGCTAAGATTCTTTGAGACAGATCTGAGCTCAAAGATAAAGTGGGAAGTACAAGAAAAGTTTTTCAACCAGAAGAAACAATAGCAGAGAAAACAGCCAAATTATTAAACAAGGAAATAGCAAAATCTACTCAGGACACAGAAAACAAACACAGTGCAAGGGAACAAAGTGGAGACACGCATAGGTCAGAGATATGAAACAGTCTCTCCCCACCTCCAAAGCCCTGCTCCCCCAAAGACAGGAACTGCTGCGCAACTGCTATTTCACAAGAGTCAGCAAAGGCACTTTGGTCCTAACCTACACACTTTCAGAAACTTTATGATCCTGTCAACTACATATAATCAATTTACAGAACAAAACGGAAACATCAGTGCTCAGTAGGAAAATACTGCCTCCTTGGAGGTACATTCACTTATAAAATTGACCAATTAGAATCGGTGAGCCCAAAACTATAACAAAAGGACCAGCTGCTTCAGGTGTGTTTGAATTGACTACATTAGCCATCACAGATACTCTCAATTATCCTAAACTCATTCTAGATACAAAATACTGGCTTTAAGACCTTTTTAAAATGTCTAGACATCAAAGGAAAATAGATCCTTAAATTCAGCTAAATAACAATTGCTAAAGATGTTCATATTTCTTGCCCAATTAAAAAAATAAAGTACTTACCTGTAAAAATTTAAGAAACTCATTGGGAGAGTCACACATACTGCACAACCTAAAGGAAAGAATATTTAAATTACCATGAAGCAGTCAAGTGATTACATTATAAAAACTGAATCCACACAAAACACTCAACATTTTTAGACCCTATAATTTTCAGGTTCACCTTTATTTCTGTATTCAAACCAAACACACTTCTAAACAGTATCACAACTGAAAGTGTGGCAATACAGTATGATCGTCAGAGCTCAGGCTCAAGGAGACAGTCTGGCTCTAAATTTTGTTTGCACCATATACTGGTTATGTGATTTCAGGCAAATCAACCTTTCAGAGTTTCAGTTTCCTCATTTACAAAATAAAGAAACTAGTAGTATCATCCCCATAGAATTATGAGAACTGAGTAAATTACTACATGTGAAGACACCTGGAATACTACCTACTATACAATAAATCAAATAAGTGTAAGCTACTAGAGGGAGTGATGCAGCCTGTGCTTCCTATTTAGACTTACTTTTAACGTCCCCATGGATTTTCAATTTCTCCCCTCTCTATCCCACTTACACGCATGGTCTTTCCAAGAAACTCTATTATTGATTCTGCCGCCCTCTCTACTGTCTTACTCCATTTATCTGTTTTAATATCTTAACTTTCACTCTTTTGCTCTGCCCCATAACCTGAAGAAATTACATTTCTGAAATTTACCACGCTTCCCTAAGATCAAAATCAATATCCTTTTTCGTTTCTGACTTCTACATAAGATACTGTGGTTATTTGCTATCTGCAGCTCTTTCCCTCCTCTGCCATTATAACTCCATCTCCCAACGCATCTGCTAGCCATCTGACCATTGTTTTATGTCCTTTATTGGAAATTTGACCTCCAAGTGTTCCTTACATCTTAAAAAATCTAGCTGAGCATGGTGACACACACCTGTAATCCCAGCGGCTGAGGCAAGAAGATCAAAGTCCAAGCCCAGCCTGGGCAACTTATTTAGTGAGACTTTCTCTCAAAACTTATTTTAAAAAAGGCAAGGAGGAGCTGGGGATGTAGTTCAGTGCAAAAGCTTGGGTTCAGTCACCAGTACTGAAAAATCTCTAATTCTATGGTCTACAGAGATGTTAATTCCTGATTTTTCTCTCTTTCAAGCTGTAAACCAAGACATCTCACAACTTTCTGAACCTTTCATTTGTACGCTTCAGTCAAGGCCTCATCTGTCTATTCCATACTCCTTCCTGGTGACTGTATTGGTTTGAAGGTCAATATAGCTATATAATCTTAAAGATCAAAGGTAAAAAAATCCCTTTAAAACAACTCCTAAAACACTTGGCTAAAAACAGTTTTTTTTAAAAAAAAAAAAAAAGACTAGAACTCAGCAGAAATCTTTTCTCAAAAGATGAAGTACTCCTGTTACTTCCAAGTCCAACTAAAATAGTTTGTCCAATTAGGTTATCTTAGAAAGAAGACAATGATATGCTTAATGTCCTCAGGAATTTTAGCAATTTATTCCATGTCAAGCTGAGCAACACTGAAGGGGAGCCAAGGCTAAATGAATTAACCCATACTGCTTGAGACTCTGAGCTGTCAGAAGCAGGCCGAGACAAACCAGCACACAATTTGCTACCAAGATTAATTTTAGTTTAAAATGTCTTAAAATATTTTTGTTTGGTTATTTTTTTGAGGTCCCGGGGATGAAATCTAGGGCCTCACACATGCTACACAAGCACTTTACCAGTGAGCTACAACTCCTTTTTATTTTAGAAAGCATCTTACTAGGTTGCCCAGGCTAGCCCTGAACTTGTAATCCTCCTGCCTCTACAGTAGCTGGGCTCAAACAGTTTTAAGCACAATAAGCACATGAAAAGCCTGGGCTCTATATTTTTTCCCAAAGAAAAGGACTGTATCTTCTATTTCTTCTCTAAATAGTATTTCATGTACTTTCTGTAAGGAGTATTTGTTAATTTGAATATTTACCTATTTTAATTTTTTTTTATTTTAGAAATACTTATCTATTAAAGTCAACATTTAAGACTATAATAGTTATAGGATACATATATATATATACACATATACGTGAATGGCAATATATATGCTTGTTTTTCAAATTGCCATTAATTAAAGGCCCAAACTTCACCATATAAAAAAAATAGCTAAAGAAATACCAGAAGTAATTTTCTAAAGGATCCAAGAGAAATGAGTTACAATCTGAAGATAATGTAGTCATAAAAATATTTTGGTTCCTCACATTTCTAGCTTATTTATTAAACAGAAACTTCAATTAAAACCGTCAACACAAAAGTTGGACAGTGTGCACTATGTTGATGAAACTAAATAAACAAGCAGTTTTGCACATGGCTGGTGGAAATTCAGAGTCATACAATCCCAAGGAAGGATTCTGGGAATGTTTAGCAATATTGCATACATTTATCCTTAACTAGCAATTCTACTTCTAGAAATCTCTTCCACAATACTCTGGCAAAAATATGGAAAGATGTTTGTGCAAGACTATTCACTGTAGCAATTTGTACAACAGCAGAGACTGGGAAGAATCCAAATGCCTCCGAATAGAGGGCTGGTTAGACAAACTGTGGTACACGGTGGTACACCCGCCCACACAATCACACAGCCGGCAGGTGTAAGAGGGAATGAGGAAGATCCTTATACACCACTATGAAATGACCATTCTGATACACTAGTAGTGGGGAAAAAAGACATCAAAGAGTAAAGTATGCATAGAATACCATCATTATCATGAAAAAGGTTGACGATATTCATTTATTTATAATAAAGAAATAATGAAAAGCCATACAATTACAAGAAAGCATGGTTACCTATGGAAAAAAAGGAAGAGTAGTGATAGAAGTTGTAACACACTTCTTTGAATACACTCTTTCATAAATTTGACATTACTCATATTTCACACAGTTACTTAAAAAAAACTTCTAAGCCAAAAATTCTAACTGGGAAGGGGCAGTTAGAAAAAGCAGGGAGGGATGAGAAGGACAGGGATAAAGAAAGAATTAAGATGCATTAGGTACATTATGAACTCCACATGATACATGTAATCATTATATACCACAAACATGTATTAATAAAAAGAAATAAAAATTATCCACATATCCACAAGTTGAGGGTAATCTCAGAATTTCAGTAACCTGACTAGATATCTCCAGTGGGATAACTATAAGGTCAAATAAAACTCAGGAAGCCAAAACCTTACACTATTTTCAGTAATCATATTTTTGCTGATTTGGTGCTATATTCTGAGATTGTTATGAGTGCTTCAAAGAATTAAGCAAATGACTAATTGCTGTGTGTTACTGAATACCAAGATTTTTGTTATAGTTTAAAAGGACACACAAATGTAAGATTAGGATAAGCAAAAATTCTGTTGTATCAAATTTTATTTGGAAATTTATCATAAAGCTAACCAACACACTGTCGTCCTCTAGCTATCCGCTGAATGGATTACTAAGCAATGATCATCAATGACTGTGAATACCACTACTGGTAGGTGAAGAACAGATGCTAACTGTGTAACACATACATCATACCTGAACCCTCTGACTACTACTAACATCACAGAGAGAGATAGCTAATACTGTGTGCCTACTGGGATGCAATTGAAAGCACCACTACCTAATAAATACTGTTCCCATACCACACCTCCAATGAAACCTTATCAGTCAAGCCCATAGGTTTAATTACTATTTTACAGGAAAAGTGAGGGGCAGAAAATATGTTAAATAAAATAACAAGAATTCAACCAGAAAAATGCAGAAAATAATAATTCCACAGGGCCAACAACCTAGTTTCTTCAACAAACAAATTACAATACAAAAAAAGGAAAATGTATGTACACCAAAAAGAATTTAAACAATCAAATGCAATGTATAGATCCTATCTGGTGCCTAAAAAATAAACCAATCAGAAAGGACATATGGGAGAATTACAGAAATCTGCACACTGTCTACATACTTGATAATATAATTCTTATTAGTTCCTTTGGCATTAGGGCAGGAAGACAGGGCATGGCAAAGTGGCTGCAGGAATAAGCATGACCTGTTCAATACAAAATGCCAGGACAAGGGGCTGGGGATTTAACTCAGTGGCAAAGCGCCTGCCTGGCAAGCGCAAGGTCGTGAGTGTGGTTCCCGGTACCGGAGGAAAAAAAAAAAAAAGAAAGAAAGAAAAAAAAAAAATGCCAGGACATATGTGCAGAATAGTTCTAAAAGCCTCAGGATGTGGACTTTTTGCAAAAACCCACGATGTGCAGAATGAATACAAAAGGTGACAGATGCCAAAGAAAGCTCACTAAAGTGGCTTTCCTCATGAGGGCCCACCCGATATTCTCTAGGGTATACTTTTATTTTTTCTATTTATTTTTTATTTTCACTTGCCCCAAACTTGCTCTGGAGAGCCAGTTTCTCCCTTACCCTTCACTTTTAATTTTTTCTACCTCAAATCAATGTGAAACTTTGCTACCATTTTTGCTTGTTTTGCTTCTCATTCTTTGCTCAAGATAGAAAGAACCTAGAAACGGGGCTGGGATTTAGCTCAGTGGCACAGCACCTGCCGGGCAAGCTCAAGGTCATGAGTTCGACTCCCGGTTCCAGACAACAACAACAAAAAAAGAAAGAACCTAGAAACCACCACCAGGAGACTCCGGCACTCCAAAAGCCATTAACAGTATGATAACAGTACTGCAATTATGTTTTTAAAGGAAGAAATTCAGGTCTAGGATTGTAGCTCAGTGGTACAGTGCCTGCCTATCATGGGTGAGGCCCTAGGTTAAATTCCAAGCACCACAAAAACAAAAACCTATTATTCAGAGATTCAAGAGGTATTTATGGATGAAATGAAATGATGTCTGAAACTTGCTTTTAAATACTCTTAAGGGAGAAGAATGTCTTAATGGTGACATGAAGAAGCAAGGCAATTCTCACAAATAATTACTAAAAACTAGACAAAGATATTCAAAAAGACTACTTGAAGGTACTGGACAACAGCCAAAAGAAGGCAGAAACCTGAGAAGGATTTCTACTTGGATCACTAGGGAACAACTCCTTTTGAGGCTTGCCTATCTATACCCCCGAACTCACCCATCCCAATGGTGGAAAACCTCAGCTCTCCTCACCAGCTTTTGGAGACAGATGATTAGAATTTAACACAGCAGGGGTATTGCAAATGGGGGTAGGGGTCATTTTAAAGAGAAAGGCAAAAGGACTGATAACAATTTGAGTATAAACTTTGCCCCAATCCCTAGCTGGCTGCTAAACTAAGCACGCAAACAGGAGACCTCAGGAACATAATGAAAACAGGGTAGAAGTTAGAGGAGATGCTATCCTTTGAAAGACAGAGGCACTCTTAGTGAGACCTATGAGCCTGCTGAACCCCTCCACTCTGGTTGGTAATGAAACCCAGGGGCACACATATGGTAGGCAAGTGCTCCATAACAGAGCTAATCCTCCAGCCTGCTGTGCCCTTCATTTCACCAAGTGTGCTTCTGATCCACACTCGATCTTGGGCTGAAGAGGGAGAACCTTTGCTGTGTTGAAATATCAGAGGACAGAACACAGCTGCTGGCAGACCAACTAAAGATTCAGGATGGAGAAACCCCAGAAGTAAGAAAATCACAGAGAGGAGAACACCAAAATCTCAGGATCAACTCTGCCTGAATCTTTGGCTGATGGCTAAACTAACAGAAACACAAGAAATAATCCCCCAAGAAACCAGCCTAAAGAAACATCAGCTGGCCAGGCACAGCAGGGCATGCTAGTAATCCCAGCTACTCAAGAGGCCAAGCCAGGAGGATCTAAGTTTGAGGCCAGCCTGGAAAACTCAGCAAGACTATGTCTCAACATAAAAAATAAAAAGGGAGACTATGTCTCAACATAAAAAATAAAAAGGGCTGGAGATGTAGCTCAGTGGTAGAGCACCTCCCTAGCACAAGGATGGGCCTGCATTCTATCTCTTGTACCAGAAAGTGGGGCAGGGGTGGGGACAGCTGAAAACAATTACATAGGAACATCAGCTGTTATATACTGTGAGGGGACAGAGTTCTCAGTCTGAATTCAAACAAGTTAAATGCCTACTAGAACAAAAGAAAAAAAGTTTTTTTCAGAAAAACAAAACAGGGTAAGGGATATAGTCCAGTGGCACAAGCACTTGCCTGGAAAGCACAGGTCCCGAGTTTGATTGCCGATACAAAAAAAAAAGAAAACAAAAACAGATTCCTAAGTCTGTATAAATATTTTCTCTGGCTACTGTCCCTTTCTTTCACAAGGTGTTGGGGATCAAACCTAGGGCCTCACATAAGCACTCTACCACTGAGCAGCACCCCAGCATTTACATTTTATCGTTAACAAATGAATGTAAAATGTAGCAAACCTATCACAGAACAAGCTATTAAAAATCAAGATTCAGGGGCTGGGGATTTAGCTCAGCGGCAA